TCGATTTGATTCTTTTCGTCGTCGATCAAAAAAAGCCTTTTGTTTTACTTTCTCTCTTTTTCTGGGTTTTCTGAAGTCAAAAGGGTTTTTTCTATTCACTGTTCCAAGACTTTCTTTTGTGATCTTCTTTAGCTTTCTCATTGTTTCTAACTCTGCTTTTCCTGTGAAGACCGTAAGCAACTTTGGCTTTGGTTTTGCTAGAAGATTCCTAAAAATGGGGAATTTTTGGTGGTGATAAAAAGCTTCATTTGGGTGTTAATGTAGCTGTAAAGTCTAGGGTTTTCGATATCAATCTCACTAAATCGGTTTTGGAAATAAGCAATTTTTGTAGTTAGTGATCTAGTGTTAGTTAGATCTGTGAAATCGAGAAGCATTTTTTTTTTGTTTTTTGGGTGAACCGGAGTCAATGTCGGTTCCGCCTCGATTCCGGTCAGTTGACTCCGGTGAGAGAGACTTCCGATCAATTCTTGGTCCTACCGGGAACAAGCTGCAGAGGAAACCACCGGGGATGAAACTGGAGAAGCCGACGATGGAGAAGAAGACAATCGAGTCAAAAGATGAAAAAACGAAGAAATCGGATACTCCGGCTTCACCGACGACGACTCTGAAGCAATGCTCGTCTCTTTGCTCTTCGATTCTGAGAAGGAACAGTGCTTCGATGACTGCTTCGTATTCTTCTGATGCTTCGTCTTCTTGCGAGTCATCGCCTTTGAGCGTGGCGTCTTCTTCGAGCTGTAAGAAGGCTGTGAGGCGAAATGGGTCTGTTTCCTCGACAAGGAAGCAGAGTTGTGGGAAAGAAGAAGAGAAGGTTGCTGGTAATGGTGATTGTTTCGCTGATGGTCGTAAAAGATGTGCCTGGATCACGCCTAAATCTGGTAAGAATCCGAAAATTTCCTCTTCTGTTTCACCTTTAATCTCTCTTGTTCATCAATCGCTCTTTCTGGAAAGAAAATTTTCAATGTCAACGTATTCAAGATTAGTAAATTTAGAAGAGATGCGGAAGAAAATGAATTTGACCTGATTTTACTGAATCAGTGAAGAGATGATGAAGTTCTCTGGTTGAATCAATGGGAATGATTTCAGACAAGGAGCTACTGCTTCTTGTTTGCTTTATATTCTGTCGAAGAAAATGCTTGAATTGCTTTGTACTTTGTTCAATGTTCAGTGAGCATTGTCTAGATTGTTTGTTATCTTTCATAACTTATGTAGTACCATGTCCTGAAGTTCTCTTATCGATATTTAACGTCTCACTGTTCAAGAAATCTAGCATAAGTATCTTTCAATTAGCTACTACGGAAACAAGATAGGTCACTTTGTTTGAATGATTCTTCTGTAAATTGAGTAGCCTTTTACACTTACTCTCAATGTTGATGAGTTTAATAGTTTCCTTACTGTCTGCTGATCTCTTATCTTCTATATCTTTCTCTGCTGTAATTGACTGATATTGTTGTTGTTTTTCCGTTCTTTGAAAGACCCGTGTTATGTTGCTTTCCACGACGAAGAATGGGGAGTTCCTGTACATGAGGACAAGTAAGTGGTATCCTCAACTATTTCCCTTTTATCAGAGATGCTCTTCCTAATTATAAGTCTCTTACCACTTCACCAAAATGTGTAGGAAACTTTTCGAGTTGTTATGCCTCTCTGGTGCTCTAGCCGAACTCTCTTGGACCGACATTCTCTCCAGAAGACAATTACTCAGGTAACCAAGACAATCCCTTAACAATCTGAAATAAAGAAATCACAATATGAACTTCTGATTCAAAAGCCAGAAACTAGAGTTCTGTATAAGCTCTCAACTAAGATTTGCTTCTTATTTTAAAACAGGGAAGTTTTCATGGACTTTGATCCAGTTGCTGTTTCCGAACTGAACGAGAAAAAGTTAATGGCTTCCATTTCCTTACTATCAGAGGTCAAAATCCGATCAATCCTCGATAACTCACGCCATGTGCGCAAGGTAACATAGCCTAATAACTCAAAACATGCAACTGCTTTAGACATATAATAATCTCTCTGGCTCTTAATTCTTTGAACTTGATCCAGATTATAGCTGAATTCGGATCATTTAAGAAGTACCTGTGGAACTTTGTGAACAACAAGCCTACACAGAGCCAGTTCAGGTATCAACGACAAGTCCCTGTGAAGACATCAAAAGCTGACTTTATAAGCAAAGATCTTGTACGCAGAGGCTTTCGAAGCGTTAGTCCAACGGTTATTTACTCCTTTATGCAAGCAGTTGGTCTCACAAACGACCATCTCATAGGCTGCTTCAGATACCAAGACTGTTGCGTAGATGCAGAGACAACAACAACAACAATAACGAAGGCGAAGAAGAAGAATGAGCGAGAGTGATAAATAAGAGCAATTCTGAAATAAGCTAATTGACGTATTTGAGTTACCATGCTATTTGTGTTCAAGGATTAATCTTATTTTACACGACGAGGTATTTTACACGACGAGGTTTTGCTACTGTGAATGTGAAGTGTTTTTTTTTTTAGTATGTATAGATGTTTTTTGGTTTATGCACAGTAGAATGATGCAGGACAAGGAGCTCTTTAGACCGGACGTATTTGTGTGAATGGATTACATGCATGCTACGTTTTATTTTTTTATTAACTAACACAGTATCAAAGTTGATTTCAGCATTTGAAAATTTTCAGTTTTTGCCATTAATCATTAGATAGTGAATTTGTCATGTTACGGATAATTGAGCTAAATTTGCATTTTTCACAGCAGTCTCAAGAGAGAAAAAATGTAATTTTATCAAGTCATTTCAGCTTATTTGAAGCGAATATATAACATGTCTTATCTTGTCCTACAAATAGTGCTTATACTACATTTTAGGAAAATACTTTAACTTGTTTGGATTTTATCCCCGAGTTGTTAAGAAATAACTTGTTGATAAATTATGGCCGTGCATTGTGGAAGTCTAATTCAGCTTTGGCATATTCTTGATTTCATATTATTTTTATGTTTTCTTGTGCTTTTTTCGAATTTTATAATCGGAACCAATGGTTTGAATGTTATATAGCATCCGGTAGGCATCTTAGTCA